GAAAGTCTCAAAGATCCAAAACCATGCGCTCCGTATTATGACAGGGGCAATGCGCTCCACGCCAATATCAGATATGGAAACAATTACTGGTCTCCATAATCTGGAAGATAGGAGGGACACAAAGCTCCTCACCCAGCTCTCCAAATACAACCACTTTCAAGAACAACCCATGTACAGCCGACTGTAGAAACCCCAGAAGGCTAGACTAAAGAGAACCTGTTTTATTTATCAAGAACGCAAATGCCAAGCTCGCTGTCCTTAAACTCCCTCCCATAATACCAAATGTTCCACTTAAACCTTACAACGACTGCCCCACTTGATTAGGGTCTTCTCCAAATCATCAATGAGCAGCACTGATATGAAATCAACTACAGAAGGAGAGATCAATAGACTTTATCCACACCAGAGTTGGATTCGAGTGTATACAGATGGTTCAGCCAAGAGAGCAGTAAGAGACGGAGGAGGAGGAATATACATAGAATGCCCAAATGGTTTAAAAATCAACCAGGCTGTACAAACAGGTTCATATTCCTCCAATTATAGAGCAGAGGCAGAAGCACTTCTAGCGGCATGTTCTTTCCTGAATGGACAACAGCACAGCAAATATAGCAGAGTGGTCTTTCCGACTGATGCTGTGTCAGTTCTACAAGCAATTATTAACCCAAAAGACACTCAGTTTGTAGACTTGATGCAACAGCTGATTTGCTTAGGCTCTTCAGTAGAACAATCTGTACTGCAGTGGATTCCAGGTCACTGTGGCTTGGAAGGCAATGAAATAGCGGACAGATTGGCCAGAAGCGGCAGTGACATGGTACAACCAAATAGCGACTTAACCCACCAAGAGATGAAAACACTAATACAAGCTAGTATCCAAGAAAGGTGGCTGGATACCCACACCAGATTTTCTCCCCAAGACTCACTTCATCGCCTCTCTAGAGAGGGACAATGTATTATATTCAGACTAAGGACAGGGCCCAACAGATTTCGTCAACACATGTTCACATTTTTTGGTGTAGGAAATACGGAGATGTGTCCCTGCAGCGTGGCACCTGAAAATGCTGAGCATGTGCTCCAACACTGTCAACTGTATGCTGACAACAGAGACGCAATCTGGCCTGTTCCAACCACAATGAAGACAAAACTGTATGGTACACGAGAGGATATGGATTGCACGATAGCTTTCATAAAGGCTACCGGCCTCCTGATATAAGTTTTCTGACAGAAGGATCGAAGAAGAAGAAGAAGACAGCCAAGTTGTAAACCACAGTACAAGTGACAACTGGACACAACAGATTCCACAGCTATATGTACAGAAAATGCAAGATCTGGGACTCTGAACTTTGCTCAAGTGCAGAGGCACCACACAATATTGAATATGTCCTGCAGACATGTTTTCTACAAGCAGCAGAGAGATCCCAGTTCTGGCCTGTTAGCATTTTGATGAAAACCAAAATGTATGGATCACTAGAGAACATGTGCCGCACCAGGAACTTCACAGAGACCTGTGACCTTCTGAAAAAAAACAAAAACTGACAGGAAGAAACAAAATAAGAAGAATGTGCCATTTACACTGTTTAAGGATGAAAGCAGAAGATTTCAAACATCAGATTCAAACATTTTCAGTGAAATTGAATTCTTAGAAAAGATGATAATGTTGGATAGGGCAACACAATTTTAAGGAATTAGGTAATAATAATATAGTTAAATAGTCTTTCGGTTCTTTCACAATTATTCACCCCAGACACTGGAAATCAACAACTGACAGGACAGTCTACTATTTCAGAGGGTGGTATCTTGTCATTTGCCGTGCACGTCTGAGTTTTATGAGCTATTTGTGCGGTTTTTGTGTGTGTTGGTGCCCAATCGGCTGCATCTTTCTGCATGCTGGTGCGCAATTGGCTGGTGTACAATACTGGTTATGTTTTCAGTTCTCATGTGAATGTCTAGTGTAGTTGGTATCACATCTTTCTTATAATCAAAAGGTGCCGCGTTCAACCCCTAAATTACTTTTTTTTTTGTTAAAAAAAAAAAATACATTGTAAATTTCAGCTCTTAGCACACTTTCGGCAACAGATCACCCAAAAATTAATTATTTTAAAAAAAATTAAAAAATTTTAAAAATTTTAAAAATTTAAAAAAAAAGAGAGAGAGATTAATAACACAGGCTATACAATTAATTATGATTAAAGCGGTAGATTTTTTAAAATCAAAATGGGGGGAGGAGGAGGGGACCTAGGCTGGGGTTTGGGTTAGGGCCAGTTGTAAATGTTTTGGGGTCATTAAAAGCTCTCACATCGTGGAATTTAGAACACTTGATATCACGGCAGCTGGCAAACAACTGAAATACAATATGTTTGTATGTGTAAAATTATGTGCAATCAGAGAAACTCTGTGTGCTAACTCTAACCCTAACACCTAAACTTTTTGACACTGCTATCGGTCCTGTCGTTCCGCCAGCGATAACAGTATCTCATGATTATTGCCACAAAATCTGGTGCTGTGCAGAATGCCATTATGATGGAGGAAGGCAACGCTGGTCTCCTTGTCAGGCACAGATGCTGCAAAATTAAGGAAATTCATGGCGATGAAGACTGGAACAAGACGCCTCTAACACAAGTTGCTGGAGACAAACATAAGTTGCTGGAGAGAAGACGCCGTTGGGAACAAAAAGCGCGCCAAAGCCTTGGAAATACCCGCCACAGCCTTGGCAATGCTCCAAAACCTTGGTAATGTAGGAAGACAGCTGGAAACACACTGGAAAAGCCCTATGTTAACACCCTCTAAATTATCTGACTTTTCCGTGACGGAACTGAGGTGAATAATTGCAAAAGAACCCAGTCTTTCTTCTACAATCTACAAAAAAAAACCTAAAACAGAGAAAAGAATTAGAGGCATCAATGAGTGATAAGGAAAAAACAAAGAAATATAAAGGACACACACAAAAGATGAGATAAGCGTGAGAAGATTGAAGCAGAATGTCTAAATAGAAGTTAAAAGGCAAAAGTTGTGTTTGTCTTTTTATCAAAGTCCATGCCGTGTGGATTTGTCAATCATTTCTGATACAGATGCTATCATATACAATAGGTAAACTCTTATTCAATCATTCTTGCGGTCAATCTTTACAAAATGACATCAATTGTTATCTATTTGGTGGCTCATTCAATACTTACAGAATGACAATGCATTAGTTTGTATTTATTCTTTTCCATTCAATCCCTTCCAAAGACAATGTATTAAATTTTATTCATTCTGCCCCTCATTCAATCCAAATGATAATATTGAAGTTCCTTTTATTTACTTTGTCTCTCATTCATGTTTAGCAAAAGACAATATATTAACTCCTTTTCATTATGTTTTCATTATTGACCAGCTGACTGGTTGTGAACTACATATCAGTTCAGTACCCATTACTTAACTTGGCCGAGTCAACCCCAGAGATTTACTTGAGAGAAAAATGTACCTATAAAACCAAGGGCTGAAAACTCCAACATAATCCAGTCTGCCTTCTGCTGAAGTGCAAATGTTTTCATGATGGTTAGATAGCCAGGTTTAGCAATGACATCATCCTCCATCTGCAATTATAGTGTGCACATGCAATAAATGTTCATAAAAATTACTGAGATTTTAGGAGAAACGTTAACAAAATGCTAAGGTTTTAAAAGAAATGTTAACAAAGTGCTGAGGTTTTAGGAGACATTTTGCACTAAAATGTTGTAACGGTTTAAGAGAAATTTACATAAATACAAATACTTTAGGATAAATTAAAAAAAAAAATACTACGGCCTTGGGAGAAATGTATATAAAATTATGAGAGCTCAGGAGAAATGTACTTTATATAATAAAATATATTAGCAGAAATGAAATAGAATTATACAAAGAAATATAAAAACTTATCAGTGACAATATATTATCACATTAAAAAAAAACATTAAGCTTTAAAACTAAATAAATATTAAAACCAAAACTCATTAAAAAAAAGACAACTCAGTATTAAGATATACCGTTGTGACATTTTAATGTAACCTATTTAAAAAGAGAAATGTCAAAAATGACCAGACCAGACAGTTATGATCTGCTCAAAATTGGTGGCAACCCTATTCCGGAACTTTGCTACACAGATGACACAGTCTTCCTTTCAAACAGCGTAAAGGGAATAGAAAATTTAAAATTGTCTTTCCAAAAGCATAGCAAAGATCAAAATATGTTCTTGAATTTAAAGAAAACAAAAATAATGTCCACAAATAAAACGCTGCCACCCAAACATAACAATAAATGATGAAGAAATAGAAAATGTGAAAATGTCACAAACTTTGAATATCTAGGCTCTATAATAAACAGCAATGGAGAATGTTTGAAAGAAATTGAAAGGAGGATGGCCATAGCAATGCAAAGATTAAACAGCCTTAAAAGTCTTTGGTTTAAGCACCAGCAAGGATATCAAAATAAGAATTTTGAGAGCACACATCTTCCCTGTAGCAACATAGGGATGTAAAGAAAAAGAATAGGGGATTTTGAGCTGAAAGGCAAAGAAAGAAGACAGATATTCTGACAGCCTGAAAGATCTGAACATCAAGGAAGATTGGCTAACAAACAGCATCCTGTCTCGGAAGCTGAAATATTTTGGACATATCAAGCGCCATGACGGACTGGAAAAAATTATAGCAGATGGCATGGTACCAGGAAGGAGGGACAGTGGCCGACCGACACGAAGATGAGCACAGGATATAAGTTACTCCTTGAATATGAAGTTCATGAGGCTGGAGAGCTGGCGAGAGACAGCGTTTTTTTCAGGCAGACCGTGGTGAGAGCGACATTCAGCAATGGACCTGATACATGATGATGATGATGATTTAAGAAGAACAACAGACAAAATAAGTCAGTCACAGAAGTGTCCGGACAACAGCTGGTATCAGTAGCAGCTCTCCAAAAGAAAAGACAAAAGAAGGTGGTGATACTTGAAGTTCATTTTAAGAAAAAAGCAGAAACATAACTATAAAACAGGTACTAAAATTGAAAATAAATGGACCGAGGAAGTAAGGGCATCAAAGAAAAACCCCCTGACAAATGCTGATGAGAGAGGCCTGAGGCACCTGATTAGATTTCACAAAAAATGTCCTAAAATGTGCACAGGATTGAAATGAAGGAAGGAACTTACTGTGAGCCTTAAATGATATATAATGACACAAAAAGATAATGAATGAACAATAGCTTACCAGGTTAATCTGTTAAATATAATACAGTTGTACAACAGTGGACTATATTTTGATCTTAAACAGCATCTTAACTGTATAATTCATTAAACTGATTAAACAAGAATGGATCCATGTGATGGGTTCATTGCAGGGAGCAGCAAGAAATGGATGGGCCAGTTTGGTCATCATACTACATGATGGGACTACAGTTGAAATGTAATGTGCTTCCAGGAAACTCTCAACAAACTTCAGAGCTGAGCAACAAGCAGCTATTAATGCACCAAAACTACTTGAGGACAGAAAAATAAAAGACAGTAAAACTGCTTTTTATGTGGCTGCATGTCAGTCCTCCAGGTGACATAAAGAGATCCACAAGACAACATGGAAACAGAAATTATCTGCCACCTAAATCTGCATACCTGCCCACTATACTTACAACTATGAAGAGAAATCTGGCCTGAAGAGCAAAAGTGTGCTGAAAGGAGCAGATGAGACAACTATCCAACATGTGCTAGACTATTTAACAAAATACTGGAAGAGGAAATAATCCCAGAACAATCAAAGAAAGGAATAATTGTGAAAATCCCCAAAAAGGTAATCCTAACGACTGCAATAACTGAAAAGGAATAACCTTACTATTTATTATGTCAAAAACCTTTTGCAAAGTAATCCTCAAAAGAAATAAAGAGGGAGGTAATACAATCATGAGAGAAGAACAAGCTGGTTTTATAACTGGAAGAAGTTGTCTGGATCAAATAATTACCCTGAGACTACTTATTCTAGAAGAACCAATGAGAAGCAACAACCTCTCATCCTCAATTTCATTGATTTCAAGAAGACCATTGACAGCTTACACAGATTTTCACTATGTGGAATTTTTTTAACGCTACTGCATACCAGCCAAAATAATCTGCATTTTTAGAAATGTATATAATGGTTCAGAATGTGCTGCCCGCTGAAAATGGTCCAAGTGAATGGATTTTGGTGGAAACTGGAGTGAAACAAGGCTGCATTCTATCTTCCTTGTTGTTTGGAGTAGCCACTGATTGGGAAATGAAAAAATGTTGCAAATGCAATACTGGCACTGATTTGGTAGAGAACAGACAACTGAAAGATCTGATTTTGCAGATGATATTGTTTTCTTAAGTAAACATAACACAGACATGCAACAACAACAAACCAGATGATTTGTCGTCAACAGCATTCAAAAATAGGATTACAAATAAGTTATGAGAAAACAAATATATTAAAGATACCAACAACAGATTATGTAGATGAAATGCCAGGGGAAAAAAAACCACAAGTAACGGACCATTTCACATATCTGGATAGCAATTTTGATTCTCAAGGAGATACAACGAAGGAAATTATGATATACACCAGGAAAGAAACAACAGTCTTTAAAAGCCTTAACAAATAGGCAGCTTCAACTTTTACAGCTTTAAGATCAAACTATGAATCTCCAATTCATTATTTCAATTGTAACATATGGCAGCCAAGTTGGAGAACCACCAACGATACACAATGAAACTAAATGCATTTGAAAATAAATGTGAAAAAACAAATCATGAACATAAAATGAGATAAATTCAAAAAGAGTGAGGAGATCAGAGAAATGTCTGGATAAATACCTGTATCAACTACAGTAAACAAATAAGGTGAAGATATATTGAGCACATTCTTAGACGAAATGAGCAAAGAATTACAAAAGAGCACTGAAATGGGAAATAAACAGTCTAAGATAAAGAGGATATACAAGGGAAACATTAGGAAGAACATTATTACAAGAGGTTAACATGGTGGGCTGAACTCTGGGTCAGAAACTGAGAGGTGCATGCAACAAAGCGGAGTTGGTTAATCGAATACGAGCCCGTTGTGACGCCTAACAGCACACAAAGGATGATGATGATGACAGACACCTTGAATATATTTGCAAAAACTGAACAATGGCAACCCTCTGCTGCCTTAACTTTATATTCACCTCTCTCTTCAACAATTCTCTCCATTGTTCCTTCAGATTAATCAACCAAACATTGCAGGTTTTGGAAGTGCAATTAAGGAAAGCTTCATTGGTCTAGTGAATGTACATATGAGAGGTGTTCAAGTGTTCAATCTATAACCAGATTTAACGATATATTTCTGCTGAATATTATGTCAACTGTTCAGTCAACAAAAGTAGGTATCTTGGCTGGGAGTGGGGGGAGGGGTAAAATGACTCCTAAAAAGAGGGACATGTGATTAATTTCTACCCCAAAAAAAAAAATACAATAGATACAAATATTTTTTTTTTATTATTACATAATTACTCCATTATGTACATTTTAATTTCAGTATGTAATAGGATCTTGCCTGTGTTATAGAGCTGACACACTGTGCTAAGATTCCCCCTGAGCACTTATTGGTCTATGCAAACTAATGGGGATAGCACCATATACTTAAAAGCTGTAAGTAAAAAAGTAAAGGTCCCTTTTCCATGCCTTTAGGCGTATAGGGCATATAGGGCTAAACCTATATTCTTATAGATGGGTGATGTGGTCAGCATCACACTGGCTGCCTTTACTTCGCAGGATTAAAAGCTGTAGAGTGTGAAAAAAGAATCCTTGATGCTCATAGAAAAGTTCACAAGAAGAATGAGTTACAAGCTGAGATTCTGTGTACAGCTGATATTATTAACATGAATACAATAAACATATGAGGTCATACCTGAACATAATATGTAGCTTTAGGTCTACCATACAGCATGAGAAACGCATAGTCCAAGTTTTGCTTTGTTCTCCACCTGAGGGATAGTGTCAGGTCGTTAATACTGTGTTAACATTCACATTATATTATATGGTTGTTCACTTAGTCCCTCCACAGTCAGTATTTTATTCATACTAGAGACAACAATGCAGATATTGATAATCTATTTCAAGTGAATGAAAGAAGAAGCAGAAGAAGAAGTCAAAGTTTTTAAATAACTGTGAGCTGCATCCAAAAACATCACAAGAGTTGTGTAATTACAAATATTCAGTCACAGTGGAGGGACTCATGGAACAGCCTACATTTACATGTCAATGTTCCCAGTACCACAACAAAGATTAAGTTACTGCTTTGTACTCTGTCATTTTTCCAGAGGAGAGAGGTATACTGTGCTGTAGGGACACATGGAAATCACAGCACATGGTGTTGGCAAGTGCCACTAGCAAGACTCCCTCACATTGGGAAATGTCTGCACCTATGAGAACATGCAATTTCAGGGATTTCAAAAGCCAGTTAAGGCCAGGGATGAAGTATCTCCTCACCATAGCATAAAGTCTGGCAGTATTGTAGAGACCATGTGCTGCCTATGACTCATTATCCTTCTCTCAGCCTGCCTCCTTTACTCCAAAGGTACAACAAATGTTTGAAACAAAGAATGCTGCAGAAGCTACCAGATCAGAAGAGCAGTGCTCTGTTTGTCCATCCTAGACCAGTAGTTAGCCAAGGCTAAGGGCCTCCTCTGCCCTGCCCCAATATTAAGTTTGCACATTGCATTTCCTCTTCCTAGGATAAGGCAAGTATCCTACCCGGTGCACTCCTCCACCTGAAGCTGCTAGCACAAGTAGGATATTAGAGTTACATTCTGACAACAGTCAAAGTAACAATGAGGGACAAATCAACAGAATCGTGGAAATGAGATAGTCAGAAGCTTTCTAAATAATTCCATCAACATGCTTAACTCTTTAAGGCCCAAACAACGGTGTGAGCGTAGTTTGAGAAGTTCCGTTCTGCCCAAACAACGGTGTCATCGTTAATTGTGTATCTCTTACATTTTGCTTCGCACGCGCGTTCGTACTAGTTTCTAATGTTTGGAGGTACGAATAACCTATTCAGGGAAAGTCACTCTGCCGAAATCCTTTTAGTTTCACTTCTTGGACTAAACCACACGTGGATAATTTGAGAGAAAAAAACATCAAAATTTTTTTTAACGGTTTATTTTCTAAGTTCGTTTTTGAGTGCACGGAATACCAATGTTCTAACCACATGAACAGGTCGCAGAATTCGTCTTTCTGCGGCCGAAGCTCTGAAATTGTTTCAGTCAAATGTTTTTAATTGTGAAAATGATAATAAAAATTTAGATTTTTCGGAAAGTGATTCAGACAGTGAATTTTCACCAGTGAAGCTGAGCGATCAGCTGTTCAGAATCTAGCGATTCTGACGAGTTTATTACACAGATAATGTCCCATACTACCGTATTTATGGTGTAAGAGAATGAAAGTGCTCTAAACAAAGAGATAGTACTATACTATGGCTAAGCTACATTGAAATCATCGCAGCTACAGTCTGTAAATAACTGTACAAAGTGAATAGTAAATAGTGTGTGTGTTATGGCTCATTTTTCTGCCATTTTTTCTCTGAAATTTTGCTTAGCACTCGATTGGAACTAAGAGCCCCTGAGTGATAAACTAACTCAGAAAGTTATCATAACTTTAGATTATGTTAGGAAATTTAACAAACTTTGAAGTTTTGTTCTCAAATTTGGATATTTACTATTCTTGTGGCTGCAAAACCATGGTAAGTGGAGAATTTTTTTTGTGAAATGTTGTCCTTGTGAAATTAACACCTGCTGAATTCTTCTTTTCCACTAACTATAACAAAATTAAACAAAAACTTATCATCAGATTCAGAATGTACACTCCTTTCTGGTTTAAAAAATATAAACTGTTATAGGGATTAGAAGTATATTACAGTCTCTACAGCCTTTCTTGTACACCCACCCCTCTGCCATTTTTGTAAAGGGAAATTAATGTGGGCCAAGTCTGTCAAAATTCATGGGCCTGAAAGAGTTAAGAAGGTCGAGATAGTATGGTTTGGATGACAACGGTTAGTCTCTGGGGAAATCTCATCTGGCAGCAGTCAGTTTCAATTTTGTGCCAGGACAAACTGGGGTAAGAGGGAATGAATTAGCAGACTGACTTGCTGGCACGTACAGGAAAAGCCATGGACTAAGCTGATGTTCTCAATGCTATTAAGGATGGAGAGATGATTCAAGAGACAGTGTTCAATCGGCAACCTTGACAGGACACAAGAAGTGTTGCCAAAGATAATAATTATACAAGTAGCCAAAAAAAGTAAACCAAATATAAAACTGGTACGATCAGTCTCGACATGCTGACAGAAAAACTAAAGATGAAATCCGAGCACTTATGGACTGTCCGACGTGCAATTAGGATAATCTGTCAAATAACTAACTAAAAGAGAGACAATAGAACAGTCGTGAACAGAGTAGAAGAACTCACTCACTTGACCCTCTCCTTGGTGTCACCAAAGGTCTCTCTGAGACTGTCCAGGTCAGGGTAGAAACCAGCTGGAGGCACTATCACCTCCAGCAATCCAGAATCCAAAGCTTGGGCAAAACTGGTCAGACATTATGAGAATTTTAATTGACCATAACATAAATTGCTTCCATTATTATTAGAATCTACAAGAACCTGGAGTAATTCATCATCAGAAAAATTTTTGTATGTATTATCACAATCTTTGAAAACCTAATTGAATTCTCTATTTAAGAAACTGCTTTATTTATTATTTTAAGCTATTTGAACCGTCAACATTCACCATCAGTGAAACCACTACATTTATTTTTATTAAACTCTACAAAAACTCTGATTATTCATTTATTATTAAAAACTATGAGAAGCCTTATAAATTCACCATTACAGAAATTGTTTTATGTATTACTAAAATATGCTACACTGTGGAGCTGCAGTTGTGGAGTGGCTTGTGCACTTGCTTACCACGAATGGCCCAGATTCAACCCCAATTAATGGCAGCAATCCTAGATCCAAAAGATATGACAATGGAGTCAACATAGCCATACATTTTTAATCATTTTCAAAAACTGCCTTAAGAAAAAAGTAGTGAGGAAGCAAACTGGTCTCCCCTTCCCACTATGCAATAACCTAGAACAAGGCCTAACACTTCACAAGTTGGCGCCTTTCTGTCCTTCCAGATGATAGTGTAATATTATGCTACAAATAGCCATGTGAATCCCATTCCATGGTGATGATGAGTGTGACCAGCAAGACCTGCTCACGTTAAGAACAGTCCTGCACAATTTCCTCTTCACAGCACCAAGACTGGGCAGTACGGTGGAGACCATGTCTTGCCGATGCAGCAGAATCTCTCTCATGGCCTGCCTTGTTTACTTCAAAGGAAAGGTAGCACGTTTGGAACAAAGCATGCAGCAGAAGCTGCTGGATCATAAGAGTACAGCTCTCTCAGTCTGTCCATAGGAGCTTCCATCCTAGACCAGCTGCCAACCAAGACTTAGGGCCTGGTCTGCCCTGCCCTTGTATTAAGTTTTTAGGTTGCATTTTTCTTGCACGGATAAGGCTACTATCCTGCGCAGCGCGCTCTTTCACCAGAAACAAATTTCATAAATTTACAGCAGTATCAGTCATGTGGGATGGCATGCTTGCTTACCAACTCAGTCATACAAGATAAACTGTCAGTCGTAACTAGATTCTTCTGTGAACCAAGGGGTCTCCATGGCGAAGTGTCAAACCGTTTGCCTAGCGCTCTGAAGGTCACGTGTTTATTCATGGACTGATAGTTTGGTTGGTTCGCAGGTGCAATTGTTACGAAGATCCCTAGATACTGTCATGGGAGCAATGGGGTTCATGTTTTGTCTGAAGCTCTCAGCAGGCAGCTAGCCATTCTGTGGAGAGAGACTGAGCCATATGGCATAAAAACCAGTGCAATGAAGTTGATCCTCTGGACATTAACTGTCTGTGAACCAACAGAGATCTGCAATCAACCCAGACTCATAAAATAGCTACTGGAAAGCTAGTGAGGAAATCAACTGGTCCCTTCACCTCATGCTAATTCTGATGTAAGCTAATTATGATATATGCAAAAGCCTCACACTTCACCTTTCTACAGCAGCATTTGACATCAAAATACCATTGCTTTCCATTATTACACAGTAATCACAAAACAATTATGACAGTAGTGCTATCCATCAGAACTTATACACTTATTAAAGGATGACTTCTGCTGATCACAAAGTCTGTTTCCTACCATCCTTCTGCTCTAAGATATTTGGTAAATCTCCATAGATGTGCTCTAGTGACATAGATATCATCATTTAAAAATAACCAGAGATGAATTTACTAACAAAAGTTATGACTAGGGCATTTGTTATTCACATAATCCCATCCTGCTAAGAGGTGGTGTTTAGGATTCTTTTTTTTTTTTTTGGTGTGTTACTTGCTGATAAAGACGTCTTCCTCATGTGGATTGCAGAGCCTCATTGTGAGGGAAGAAGAAATAGACACACTGCTCCCAGCATGCATGTCGTAAGAGCTGACCAATCAAGGGTAATTAATTCAAAGTTGGAGTGCACCCGTCTGAGAGATGAGGAAACATTGGTCTGCATACAAAGACACCAGATACATAAAACAGATGTACATGCAAAACTCAAGTTCTGAACCAAGACTAAAATCCAGAAATGAGTGAAAACAATAACCTTCTGCCAAAATATACAGATAATGAAAGCAAAGAAGAAGGAAAAGGAGAGGAAGGAGAAGGAGGAGAAGAAGAAGAAGGAGGAGGAGGATGAGGAGGAGAGTGAAGAAGACAAGGAGTGGAAGGAGGAGGAGGGGAAGGAGGAGGAGGAGAATAAGGAGGAGGAGGGGAAGGAGGAGGAGGAGAATAAGGAGGAGGAGGGTAAAGAAGACTGGTAGAAATGTTCAAATGTTTCTTTGCACATTCCCCCCCCCCCCCCCCCCCCCTCTCTCTCTCTCCCCGAGGTCCCTAGTTATCTAGCCCGTGTAAGTGAATTCATTTCATAATGCCAGCTCAACCACAGTCACATCTATTTCGAACACTTCTGAAAGTAACATGACAGATGATTATTAACTTAACATCAAAAGCAAACTGAGGATAATGTCTTTACATACTTCTCTCTCAACACTGTTATCACTTGCTCTGCATAATTCAGGTCCCATGGCTGCAAAACAGACACCAATGGCTCAAATATGTGAAACAATAACATCAGCAATGTATAGGCACAATTAGAGCAGTTGTAAGAAATTGTATGCTTAGTTATGAAAAACTATTAAGGATATAGGCACAGTTAGATCAATTGTAAGAAACTGTATGCCTAGTTGTGAAAAACTATTAAGGATATAAGCACAGTTATATCAATTGTAAGAAACTATATGCTCAGTTGTAAGAAACTATTAGAAATTGCCTAAATCAGTGGTCTTCAACCTGGATTGGGAGGGGGGGAGAGGTATCAACAAATTTTGAAAATGAATGCATTTGTACTTGTACCAATCAGGATTTTCAACACTGACAGTCATGAAAACAAAACAAGGTTGCCAGCTTGATGTTGAGAGTGATCTTCATTCTGCCTTGTCCAATATCAGATCGAAAACAGCAAATATTATCAAGACAAAACAATGTCAACCATCAAATTGATATCTGCACACATATATACACACATCCCATACACAAATATGTTCTTTTTGACTATGACAGTATAAGTTCATTTAGACATTACATTATTCTGTCTCTGAGAGATATGAGCAATGGCTATTCAGCAATGAATACAGGTTGACTTGAAAATCTGCTGCACCTGTGTGTTGCAGATATCGGACGATAACAGGTTCAAGTGACAGGAATGTATAACATCAGTAGCTTAAGTAATAGTTGCTGTGTCAGCCTATGTATCTTAGGTGCTGCGAACACGCTTTGTAATGCCAGGGTGCTGGGTTTCATTCCTGCTGCGGACGGTTTGTCTTGCGTTAGTTTCGACAGTGGTACCGACAGCTGACCGTTCAGAAACCAATGGCAACCACCTGAACGAGAAATTTGCCTAGAAAAACCACAACAGCCAAAAAACGCTGGGGTTGGTTCTGCAATGTCCTGTAAAGGATACACAACACACTTTAGTAGTTGCTGTATCAGGGGGAGCTGTGGTAACAGAGAGGCAAGGTGCTTGCCTGTCTGCCTAAAGGTCTTGGGCTCCTGATGCATTCCTCATGCATGAGTGGATACCAAGCATCAGCATGTCAACATTACAGGGACTCATGTGGATATACTGTCCGGTATACTCAGGAGTCCGAGGCAATGAAAGAGTGGATTTTCTGGATACAACAGGGACAGCTATGGCAACACTCGCACTGGACGTAGCAGACATTCTGAAAACTGTTTGTGAATGATGCTGACAAAAGACAAGAGGTTAGGTGAAATAAATGTGTAAGAATGTGTGAACGAGAAATAATGTGAGGATCCGGCAAAGAGAAACGTATGAAAGGAAGAGAACGACATGTGTATAATCAGTATGCTATGGAAACAGTCAGCATCTACACCTTAAGACATTTGCTGCTGGAGTTGGAGCACCTACGGGCAGGCCCAGTGTGCTACGATGTTGACTCTTAAATCAGTAAATCTTGGTTCACTTACTGAGACAATCCATTCTTGTCCGATAAAACCAGTCTGAATCTTCTTGAGCACATTCATTAAGAGATTCTTTGTGCAGCCATAAGTGAATGTTTTCTCCTGCATGTGCCCTTAAAAGGGCAACATGGACATTTTGTTGTGGTTGACAGCTAGGCTGGGATATCCGCACCTTATGGACCAACAAATTTAATCACAGCAAACTCCTAATTTTGCCTTTTAGGGCATACATTAAAGGTAGTGGGTCATGGTCTTCCTTATGTATAGTTTTTATATAAATCTGTTCAGATGTCATAAATTATCAACTGATGAATACTGCTATAAAAGAATACCAATAACAAACTGAAATGAACCGGTTACACTTGATCTCACCTCAGCTATGAACACAATAATGACACAGTCATTGACCTCATCCTTATTCAGATCACCGATCAAAGAAGATAGAGTGTGAAGGAGGTATGTTGTCTTTTCTCTCTTAATTGTTGGAATGCCAATAGCAATGCTCACTGGAATATTACACAAGTTACAATGAAATCAAACTGGACCAATCCCCAAATTACAATATCAGACTAATGCAAAACAAACAGTTACTTAACCTTGACACTCAGATGGACAAATCATCATGGTAGCACCCCTACTAAGAACAAAAAGGTAACCACAAAACAGAAACATGCATTAAAAACTGTATTTAACAAAATACAAGTTTTATGGCATCATCTTTCCCATGGACAAAGAGCCACAGAGAGACTCTAACTACAATTTCAAATATGAAATATATGTTTTAAAAAAACTTTAGAATTTCAAAATCAGTCATGTGATCACCAAGGTACTTCAAACTGATCATGTTATCTTTCTGTTTACGTAACAAAGAGTTTAAGCAGAGTTTTATTGATACAGCCTCACAGACATACACACACTAAACAGACGTCTGCTAAAAGTGATCGAGGCTGTATCAATAAAACTCTACTCTCCTATGTTTTGTAAACTTGAGAATTATCTATCAAGAAGTATGCTGGAAAAAAAAATGGAAGAGGCAGGCCTGTTGCATGCAGAGTAGCACATTCCAATCTGTGGAGTGTAGATATGGTCTTGCTGACAACTAATTTGCTAATCTTGGCATGTGCTGTATACCATTATAATAACTTATGAAATCTCACTTTCTTTCCTTAACTCCCTACCTCCCTCTTCATCTCTCTAGCTCAATTCTCTCCCTCACTCTATACCTTCCTCTCCCTCTATCTCTCTCTCTCCCTCCCTCTATCTCACTCTCTAAATCCTTTTCCTCCATATCACTGTGCCTCCCTCCCTCCTTCCCTACCCTCCCTTTCCTTCCCTCTGTCCCAATCTCCCTTAGTCTAGCCTGCATGCCTAATTCTTAACACCTTGAAAATACAGTTTATTCATTCTTTCCTGCCTCTTCCAACCCATTCCTCTCCTATTCTCTCATTCCTCACACCCTCTGATAAACACAAATTCTATACTTAAAGAAATTAATTTGCAGCATTAGTGTTTCTTGTGTGTGCTTTAAAGGGCACAAATGTAATTATCTACACACGGTTAATGAGTGCAATTACTGCACTCAGGACCGAAGAATTATTCCAACAGGGAGTTGTATACAAGTACAGAGATATTAGCAGAGATCTGTGATTACCAATACAGTGAGCTAGTCTTTCACATTATTACAGAGCTCAGCGTCAGAAACAGCAAAGTTTACATGACAACACTTTCACATCAGTTAAACAGGAACATTTCCCCACAATAACATAAAATAAAATGTTTATTTAATTTTAAAAACAACAAATACAAAAAGTAGGGTTATATTCGTAAAATTAGCAATTAAAACATAAAAAAACAACACAGCCTTAGTGCAGCTAGAAAAGTAAAGGACCTTTTCCACACCAACTGGTACCTATTTAAGGCTTGGTCCACCTGGGAGCCAAGGTAATTTTTGAATAAAGTCCAGCACCCTTCATAATTGAACCCATGACCTTCGGATCTGCAGGCAAGTGTCTAACTGCTACACCACAATGGCTCCTACAATACATACATAAAAAATAAATATAAAAGAATATAATTTACACTACACATGAAGGGGAAATATAAAACAATACAGTAAAAATGAAGCTTATAACGACGTGTAAAATGAAGCTTATAATAACATAAAAAAGACATCACAACCATACTAAAATCGATATTACAGTAAATTTAATGGCAGACTGCTAGTTACCTTCCTGTCTGTCTTTGGACAGCTTGATGGCTGGTCTGAGGGACTCTGGGTGAGCTGTCAGATGAGGCAGGTGAGTATGTATGCCAGGCACCTGCAGGCCAGTCAGCAGTTCTTGCAATATGAACAGATTTGTACTGGAAGAATATGGACCTTTCATGTTGCATCACATACACAAAGAATACTGTATTTACAAATGTACATGAATTATGAAAACAAGATCAAATTTAAATTAAGTTACTAAACTACAGATAGAATCAGGTAAGGCAGGTAAATCAGTTAACTGCAGCTCCAACTTCACAACAAACAGGTCACTGCTGAGCTGCTTCATTTCTCTGCCAACAAAAACCACACAAAAATGTCCAGCACTATATACCTTGTGAGAAAATCAGAAGTGCAATACAAACAGTCCGACATTAGAAATGCAACTCGCCGTTGATAGAAGCAGTAGTTACAAAAGGTCATTGCACAAACACTAAATCACAAAAGGCTCCACCAGTTCTTTAGCACACAGGCCCTCATCATTTTCTGGATCTGCAGTTCACAACACATACCATGTTGGGCACTGTCAAAAAGTATTCCAAATGAAAGCCACAGCTCACAGTGTTGTGCTATGCACTCAACTCAGTGGCTGAGCAATGGACCTACATCACTTCAGTTTATATACGGAGGAAAACATAAGGGCTACCAATCATAAGGGCTACCAATCATCAGAAGAAAAAATTGTCCATGACTAAAAACAGTAAACCTACTTATCCACCATACTGACAGCATTAAAAAATGCAGCTCCAAAATGCAATCAAACATAAACAAGGGTTTGGCAAAATAAGTCCAAGGGCCTATACTCTACTAGGAGGTAAAAGGTGGAAGGAGACAATAAAAGACAAAATGATTCAGTCATTCAATGCAAATAAATTCTGAGAACTTGCTCCACATACAACAGTAGTTTTAAAGTCAAAGAAAGACCAAGGACCATTTGTTATGTCAGTGACACATCAGTCATATGATGCTTGACTCATACATTGCAGATTAATCAGCATCCGATGGGTAATGTGGACAACATCATGCTAGCCACCTTTACTTTCCAGGACATTGCCTGGTACCCACTTTTTCTGGGTCCATCTGGAAGTCAAGGTCAATTTTTTTTTATAAAGTAAACCTTCATGAGAATTTGAGCCGTAGGCCTTTGGACCAGTATGTGTCTGTCTAACCACTATAATACCACACATCAAGAAAGAGCATGACTTAGATAGAAATGAGTTATCCTTGATGTCTGCTCCAAACAAGGCAATAGTAGAAAAACAAGGTGAAGGAGGAGGCGAGCAGTGACAAAAAATAGGGAGGGGAAAGGGGGTGCCCAAAAAAAAAAAATATATTTGAGATATGATCAGAATAGAATGGAAGCTGTCAGCCTACAAAAATTAGAGACATACTCAGGAGGAGATGGCAGCACTCACAGTCATGTCCAATGTGCGATGACAATGACATGGAAACAAAAATTGTGACCATAAAAACACACAAATGCATGTGGGCATATGCAGATACATACACAAATGCTTGCACATGTTTATATACACAACTCGACTTGCATTAGATAAAGATGTTCAAATTACAGTCAGTATCCTTTAAGAGAGCAGCTGGTCAAATGGTTAAGAATGCAGAAGACCCAGGATCAAATCCTCGATAAGGATGGACATTTTTTCTGTCGGGGGCACACAAAAAAATCCTGATCTGCAGTCTGTGGCGACAGCATTAACCATGTGGCCTTAAATCCACAAGCTCAAAATTCTTCATCCCCGCTTACATCACAAAAGTGGTAAATAGATGCAGTAGTGGGTTTAGGTTTAAACAACGGATCAATATTAAAGGTAGTAACCAATAAGTGCTCCGTTCTACTTCTAACTCAAGCCTGACTCTGAAGAATCTCAGCGCAGTGCACAAACTCCGTAGCACTGGGGAGGATCATGACAATATTTTGGCTAGATTTTTAAATCAAAATATTTTGCCTGGGCAGCACTGTTAGGCTACCCTTTCTGATTTCCAACTGCCAACTGCAACAATACACCCAGAGACCAGGGGAAATTACTGGGTCCACGTGAAAAAATTCCAGCCTTCACCGGGACTTGAACCCGGGACCTTTAGCAATCAAGGTGGAGCCATGCCCGAGACCACTCAGCACACAAAAAAATCCTTCAACAAATAAGTAAATTTGATGTGTCATGATTCATTGTGTGAGAACAATGACACATGTCAGAATTTATTTGATCTGTCAATGATAAGAAGGTAGAAAACTTTAAAGTAAGTAAATATCATTTCAAGACCCCAAAAATCATTATCATCAACTCTAGCTGTTAAGAGTCTTTGGGAGGAACCATTTGTGATCCAGTAGTGGATGATAGGTAGTACTGGCTTTTGTCATTTACTGTGGATGTAAAATGTAGGCCAGAAATCTAAACAGATATTTAATGTCACTACTGTCTGTTTTACAACCTTTTTAAGGTGGTGTAGATGGGAGGGGGAGGGGGGGGGGGTGGGGGTCATAAGCGATTTACGGCCATATGGCTAGTGTTGTCGTCACGGACTGTGCAGGTTAGGATGTTTTTTTTGCCCCTTACAGAAAAACTCTATCACCATAATGGGAAGGGGGGGGGGGGAGGGGGGGGGGTTTGAACCTGGGTCTCCTGCATGAGAGCCTGTTGTTGTAACCAGCTTTTCGACCAGATACTGATGTGGTCAAATTCTTCTGAAGGTTAAAAGAAGGAAACAAGTTTAAGATAAAATTAGAGTCACAAGGATCGACTTCACTGCACCAGGTTTCATCCTATATGGCTTGGTCTCTCTCCAAAGAATGGCTAACCACCTGCTCAGAGTGTCGAAGACAGCACGAACCCCATAGCTCCAGCAATGATCCCCAGGGATCTCCATTAAAAAAATAGGACTGCACTCATGAACCAAACAAAGCGTCCATGAAACAAACCCATGACCTTCAGAAGAGACAAACAGCTTGACCACTTGGGAAACCCGCATAAGCTTTTAAAGGTAAACAGCCTTATAACTTGCAACAAAAATCTTCTCCTCTTCAATATCAAACTACCATTGAAAGAACAATGAAGAACACTAGTGGTCTGAACTAGGCAGGTATGTGGCTCAAAGGACAAGAGACCTGTTCTTGGCTGATATTTCTCCCAGTGTGGGTACAGGATGCCACTGGGATGTCAACATGAACAGATTCACTGCCTCCCCAACAAGCATGTCTTAGGAGTCAACTAAGTAGAAGCTTCTTTCAAAGTTGGAGTAAATCTGCCTGAGAGGCAAGGAACCAAGAGTCTGCATACACATAAGTCAGATCTGTGAAACAGTTGTGCATACAACATCCAAGACTGAAGTCTAGAAGTGGACACAGAACTTTCCAATGGAGTTTACAGTCAGTGAACATGAAGAAGAATTAACAAGAACTAAGAAGAACAAAAAAGAAGGTTGATATGTCAGTTTCATAATTCTCAAGTTTAAAATAGTTTACAGCTGAGAGGATCAATTTAATTTCTTTTTCTACTTTCTCTTCCTCTAATTACCTCATTAAAGTGTTGAGAGAAATGTAAGGATCTTCTATGTGTTCTTTCTAGTGTGTTGCATCAATTTTTCTTCATTTTTTTACCGCAGTGATTTTTGCTTGGTCATTCCTTTGTTCTGTGCTCCTTACATTTGTTTAATGTGGCTCTCTGTAGCAGTTTATACCAGGGCATTCTTGTCAGATGACCAAACCACACGATCTGTTGCTCTTTAGTGAAATATGTCACTGGTTTCAGTTCTAGTCTTCTAATTTCTTTATTTTTTTATTCTTTTAATTTTATCTTTTATTATTTTTCTTTTTCACCGGCTGTAAACTCTGGCAGAATGTTCTGGGTGTTCGTTTATCTTTGGACTTTAGTCTTGTTCCAGAACCTGAGTGTTGCATGCACATCCATTTCACAGATCTGGACTATTTGTATGCAGACTCTTGGTTCTTTGCCTCTCAGGCAGAGTACTCTGCTTTGGGTCTATTTTTGTTACCCAAAAGAATGAGGCCCCAGAATCCACACAGGGATCACTTCTTACTAATTTGGTAGCTGTTCTGAGACATCATGTTGTTATGATTTTGCACTCATTAATTTTAGTAAGGGTCCAAGTTTGAGACTGGTAGCATAAAGTTGGCAACAACAACAAAATAGTTATTAGTAGACTTTTCTTCATACAGAAAGGTATCCTTCTATGTGTCAAAATTGGTGTTAGTTGTTTTAGTGCCTGATTTGCTTTTGTATATCGTAGGTTGATTTCTCTATCTTTCTGATGTGAAAATTGATCCTAGCAAGTCACTTGTGTATTTCATCTCTGTGTTATTTACTTAGGATTTATATGGTTTTCAGTTGTCTACCTAGCAAAATTGTTTCTGTCTTTTCAAAGCTCATTTTCATATTATATTTCACACACTTGGTATTGATTTGAGACAGACAGAAAGCCTGGCAGGCACACACACACATACAAACTAGGGCTGTACCGAATATTCGCTTCATATTCGCTTCGGGGCCGAATAGTGGACCCAATAACTATTCGGTATTCGGCCAAATAGTTGCGGTCGGGCCGAATACGAATAGTGGTTACCTCACAACCGTTTCTGGACTGGTGGAAAAAAAACATCAAGACTTCCCACCTTGGTTTATACTGTGAAGCGTTATCTTTGTGCACCACCTACGAGCGCACCAAGTGCCCCTTTATTTCCATCTTGCATGTGTTGCGAGTATAGTGTTTTTAGGTGTGTTGCTGTAGAAACAAAATGCAACACTTAAAAATGTAAGAGGGGCAGAAAAGCAAGTGTTCTAGTGTTGTCGGCTTGATTTCTTTGAGGGGAGTGTCCTCTTCGTTGATTCTTTGAAGTAACGGGAGTTCGTCATCATTTATGGGTGTCGTATCTGTTCTTTCGTCGTCTCGTGGAACCGTGGAAACAGCAGCAGCTGAATGTTTTGATCGACGTTCGGTTTCTTGATTGTCTTTGTTGTTTGATCTTCTAGTGTTGGCCGCCCGGTGTCTGGTTTCGTGAGCTCGCGGGGGGGCTGGGCGACTTGTAAGGACGGCATTGTTTTCTTTGTCTGCGTTATTTTTGTTTTTGATGTTTCGCCTTGCGGGTTTTCATTTTGACTCTCTGTATTTGTCGTATTTTCCTGTTTAGTACAGCTGGAAATACCTTCAGTGAGACAAAAAGCTGGCCTAATGCTGACAACATGGAACGAAGGTTTTTCATGGAGGTGTGTCAGCACACGAACTAATACGTGCTGCAGGAGATCGCAGATTGTGGCGAGGCATAATCGCCCATGCCAGCCGGCAAGGCACATGATGATGATGATTCACTATTCGTATTCGTATTCAGCCGAATAGTTGGTCCAGCTATTCGTATTTGGCCGAATAGTGAAAATCACTATTCGGTACAGCCCTAATACAAACACACATGTAAAGGGCATGTGCCACACAAAAACATGTATACACACAAATAGACACACATGCACAAAACTAACCCTCTTGAATAGTTTCCTATCCTCGTGTCAATTTGTCTCGTGTCAATCTTGTTGAGCATTTCTGAAAGCTCTTGTTCACGTTGTCTGTTTAAGTTCAGGGCCTTGTGCAGCCTCTCCTGGAGCTCCTGTACTTGCTGCTCAAGGAGAGGATCATCGGCCACAACAGTCACTGGAAGGAGAAAACAGTAACAGTTCAACGACTTCAACAGCCACTGAAAAGAGACAGCATCAACAATTCAACAACCCATATATCAACAGTCATGAATAGCAGCATAGTTATCATTGCACCAGTTTTTATCAACACATTATTAACTGGAAAGAGAAAACAGCAACAGTTCAACAACCCAATATATCAAGAAGGAGCCAGAGTTTACAGTGCAATAATTTCAAATATCTCAGCCTGTTCAAAACTGGTATTAAAGATGTCTATGTCTGGCTTTCTGAGAAACAGAGGTAACACTGAAAGGTGCTCTTCCCATTAACTAATGTTTTAACTTAGAATAATTGTGAGGCTATGATTTCACAACCCACAAGAGCTCTGTGATAAAACTGTTACTTTCATTCACAATACCTGTCTCTCCCATTATCTTTCTGTTTCATTCACAACGTAGCACAATTTCATCTAAAAGAATAATGACAATGGAAAGTGTACACAGACAAAACAATGCAAACCAAACAGACAAAACAATGCAAACTAAACAGATACAACAATGCAATCAAAATGATTGTATAGATGTTGCCAACACTGCATTAAATACATGTAATCAAAAAACAGTACTTTAGTCATAAGATAAAATTATGCATGCAACATTAGCAACTAATGATAAAGAGATAGGCCACAACATTGCTGCAAAACGGTGTCTCAGAAAGGTACAATGAAAACAAACCAAGAGATGGGGCACACACATTGCTAGCTCCATGCATCTCACTTATCTAATGTTGAAAGGCAAACAAGGATGAAGAAAAGAAAGGGAAAGAATATTTAGGACTACAAGACAATGCTCCACTAAGAACTCTAATAAATGCAAATAAAAACAGCGAGAGATAAATACCACCATATATGAGGCACACACTAAAGCTTGCTCTTAGTGTTTCCATAATTTAATACTGAAAAACAAACAGGGATGAAATTTAAAAAAAAAAAGAAAGGAAAGAATATTCACCCTTACGCCATTTTTATGGATCTACATTTGTTTCCTCAATTCCACAATCTCCTTATAGAAGGCAATATATCCTTACATCTTGTTTTGTATGTTATTAAATGAGCACTATATATAAATCTATCATATAAACATCTATAGCAGCTGACACACACTCACATATTCAGGTTTGACGTTTGCTGAAGCATTTTCCCAGAGGTGAAGTGAACAGTTGTGTCACCCAGCTACCGAGCTGTTTTAATGGTCTGACAGTGAGCTATGGATTTCATATGGAATGCTGTCCAAATGTGCCAAAGGTGATTTATGTTGAGAACTGCAGAGTGAGAAAATAGCAGGTCGCCTGTGTCCACAGAACTAGTGGTGCCTTAGGCAATACTGCATGTGCAACTGCTGATTTGTTGTAACTACTTCTTCTTTTATGTCAGCAGTTCTGGTGGCTGCCTTATGCATTTAATGCTTCATGCAGAGTGGTAAGCTTCACTGGAAAGGTCACAGGTAGTGAGCATACTTTGTATCTTTTCTCAAGGCTATGCTGGCATGGTGGGTAATGAACAGGCAAACAGATTAGCTGGATCTGCACCACTGGGTGGTGAACTGATACATGACAAGGCAAAAGAATCAGTAGAGATAGAAGATTATTATGGCCTGGAGAGAATGAGGCATCTGGGTGTAGCCAGAGGGTCTAGCTGGCTCAATACACTCAGAGGAAAGGCAAGATGGACATATAACCAAATTGCGACCAGTACCATCAGTATTGGAACTCTTCGCTGGCTGCTGAAGATGAGAACAGATCCTGCATGGGAATGCCCCGAGTGCTGTGATGTCAATTCTTGACCCAACTCAACTCAAATAAATATGCATGTGTAAGCTGTTGGCTTTCCTGAGACTGCAATTTCTTCAAAAGGGACAGTGACAGGCATTCACTGGTTCAGGAATCGGGCATTGTGAAGTTGTAACTGCAACAAACAACTACCAGAAAGCAGTCTTTTATCTATCAGAATTTAACTTTAAAAAAAAAAAAATTGAGATATCCACAACCTGGCAAAGGTCTAGGGACATACTCTCTAGTCCTCAGCCAGTGCACATTTCTGCTTACAGCAGTACAAGATAACTAACTATTTCATACTGTGCAAACAACAACAAAAACAAAACAAGCTGGCAGAGAAGTAAATGTGTGTGTATTTCCTTTTGCTAAGCTTTCTAATTGCTTTATTTCTGCTTAGCTATTCTTCAGATGAGCTCAACAGAAGACACTCATGACCAACACGTAACTAGACTCATTTTTCTCTAAACACACTTGTGCCATCTCCACAATGAAGGTTGGTTGCTGTGCCCCCTCTGCAGTCTTTAGGAACATTAATTGGTGAGACCGTAATCTTTTCTGCAGTGCAACTCTTATACTGCTACTGTTTGAAAACCATTATTATAATTTTTTTTTAAACAGATCTCAAGTACTCAAGGATGTGACATTAAAAAGTACTCAAGGATGTGACATTAAAAAGTACTCAAGGATGTGACATTAAAAAGCAGACCGCAAGAAAAGAGAAGCCAAACTGTGCTGAAAGTTAAGTGCTAACGGAATTAAGACAAAAGAATTAGCATGTAAAGTATCTACTTGCTAGCAGACAAGAAGAAAGACAGACAAACATGTGCAGAGACAGATATTAGCAGACAAGAAGAAAGACAGACAAACATGTGCAGAGACAGATATTAGCAGAGATTGGCAAGGATAGACAGAGACAAACTGTTTCAGGGTTAAAATTCTAAAAAAATGTTAAGCAAACAAAAACAAAAAAATTGCGCGCGCACACGCAAACACGCACGCGCGCACACACACACACACACACACACCGAAAATAGACAAATGTGTTGGTTCCAGGGTCCCACTGAAGGTGGCTGGGTGAGGGGTTGGGGGGATATAACCAATGTGCCTCTAACAAGTATGTCACAGGAGGTGACTAATTAGGGATGTTTCCTTCAAAGTCAGAATGCATCTGCCTGAGAGGCAAGGAACCAACAGTCTAGACAGAAATAAGCCAGAACTGTAAAACAAAGGTGCATTTAAAACTCCAATTCTGAAACAAGACCAGAGTCCACATGTGGATGAAAAACTGCAACTTTCCACCAAAGTTTACAGCCACTGAATCCCAAGAAGAAGAAGAAGTATTGGACAAAAGGTGCTGATATTCTGGCAGCTATCATATGCACAGAATGCGTCTGCAATTTGCTGGTCTTGTTGGGCCTATTACCTGTTCCACTGTTCACATGGCAAAGTGACAAGCCTTTTGTGTGTGGGTTTTTTTTTTTCACTGGCACAGCAATTTTACAGTTACGGGATTGACCTATTGATGTTAAGTAGGAACCAACACTAATGACTAATTAACAAACCAGACAGATGCATTTGGTCAAATCATAAACAAATAAACTCACCTCAGATAACTGCTCAATATAAAAGATGAAATCACAAACAAAGAAATTAATTCACATCTGAATGCTGACTGACAAATATTAGATGTCACACAAAACAACGAAATCACATGAGATAACTGTCAGACAGATACATTAGGTGAAATCACTCAGAAATACAGTAAAACCTTGTTAACATTAATTCTAAGGGACTGAAAAATCAAGAGTTTATGTCACAAAAATGTGTACTAACTGGGGACTAACATATATATTATTACTAATACATTCCTGCTGGGACCATAATTGTTTTTTGTTAATCAAGTGTTCGTCTTATGTGACTTTGCGTTAGCAAGGTTTTACTGTGAATAAATTCCCATGAGAAAACACTACAAGAGAACTCACCATCTTGGCCAGAGGGGGACAGCAGCAGCAGCAATGCAGTGAAGAGCAGCAGTGACACGCTCCCAGCAAGAAACTTTTTCCTTATACGCATGAGACCCAGCACTGTGCCACTGTGTCGAGCTGCTGTGTCCAGAGAAATTTATATCTGTAGTGACAAAAGCAAAGATGTTCTGTCAAAATATATGCCAAAGACGACAGCTGCTGAATGTATGACTGAACAACGAATGCAGGTCATCATCATGTAACGCAGTGGTTCTCAAACTGCCTAATGCCGTGACCCCTTAATACAGTTGCTCATGTTGTGGTCACCCCCAACCATAAAATTATTGAATATGTGTGTTCCGATGGTCTTGTGCTCACTGACTGACTGACTGACTCATTCACTGACTGACTCACTGACCGACTCACTGACCGACTCACTGACTGACTCACGGACTGACTCACTCACTCACTAACTCAAAAAAAAAAAAAAATACACACACACAGACACACGCATACACGCAGGTAGGTGCACGCGCACGCACTCATGCATGCACGCACGCACACACACGCACACACACACACACACACAAATATATACTAAACATGACTCATGTTCATAAATATATACATTTTTTAAAATATATTAGCGATCGGTGTAAAATAGTTGTTTTTAACAGATTCCATTATGGGTCATTATCTTCTTTTTTTTTAACCAATAATTAATGAGGCAAAAGGGTTAATGGTCACATAATACTTACAGAAAGCTGATAAAACAACCACAGGAGAAATGTTCAGTTTGAGTTCTCTGTGGCTTATTATAAGGATCATACAAGCAAGCAATGAACATGCCTTATACAGAGAAGGTAACTATTGATCCTAATGCTCTCAGGTTACCAACAAGTCAATGGGGGGGAAAAAGCCATCTTAATTGAGAACACTGCATCTGTCCTGGTGAGCAGATGTGGGTCACGTGTTACAACTACAAAATCCAATACACTTAAACAATATTAGAGAATTCTATAGCCATCACAGCAATAAGATTAGGCTTAGTTTACAGCCAGCGGTGTCTGTGGCTTAGGCATTGCGAGTCGCACTGGTAACTCCAATGTACCGCAATCAAAACCCACTGCTGGCTGCATGGATTTGTATCATGGTATGGGGCGTCCCCACATTACCCACCTAGTGCTGATGGGCTGTAAAAATATGGGTGCTCTTCCCTTATGCCTGATGTGCCTTAGGTGTAAAAATGGATGTTTACTTTAGTTTACAGCCTAGTTCATAATTATCATTGAATGCCTTGCCAACAGACGTAGGTGATCATGCTTCTGCGATCTTCAACAGCATGTATCAGTTTATGTGCTGACATCCCTCCATGCCATAACAAAAGGCTCCATGCCATAACAAAAGGCTGTCAAGAATTTTTCAAGAAGATTCATAAATTAAAAGCTATTGATCACCGCTTGTGAGAGATCTGGGTTCGATCCCTGCTGCTAACGGATGGTGTTTGTTGTCTGTCCCAGAAAAAGTAAAAATTCTAACCTGCACAATTCATGATGACTGTACTGGCCATGCAGCTTTAAATCCCAGGCTCATGCCCCCCCCCCCCTACCCCTCGCCTCGTTTATTTCCCCATCCTAGACCTCCCTCACAGGTTTAAAGTACAGGTGGTGAAGAATGTTGTTATCCCCACTCACTCATGGAAGACTAGGGAGTGAGGCATTAGGCAATGATTCTTGGGTAGTAAATGGATGTCTAGTCTTCTCAGATGAAAGCATAAGCTAGGAGCAGATGTGGGTCAACTGTCACCAAAGGAAACTGTGAGGATACTGCAGAATCCAGAGGTCATCACAGTAAAAATATTCATTTATTAACAGGCATGTTTTACCCATCCTAGTATACAAAGGGTGGGACACATCAAACAATGATTCTTGGGTAGGATTTCTAGTCTGCTCAGACAAAGGTAATAAGCTAGGACGACCTGTTCCCAACAGTCAGAAATCACAACAAGAATACAAAATAGGTCACTGTACTGGATTCTTCTTCTCTAGCCTCCAAGCCCATGAGGTTTGTTGCAACAAGTATCTCTGGCCTTCATTCATCTCTCTGATTCACCTTCTCTGTCCAGCTGGGAACTAAAAGAGCTTGTAGGTTTGCTTGTAAATTATCTCTCCCCCATCCACTGTCTAAGCTAAATTGTTAAAGTTGAATACCTGCACAGAAAAGAATATTTATAGCAAGGATGAACAACTCTGTTTTTCATACATGGGGATTCTTGTAGGTGATGCAGGCAAGTGATGCAAGTTAAGGTATGAAGTAACATGAAAGTTAAGGTAGGAAGTAACATGCAAGTTAAGGTAGGAAGTCATTGAACAGACATATTATCTATGCATATTTCAATTTTAATAAAGTAAGGACCATATTACATGTCTTCAGGCGTATTGGGCATAGAGAGCTGGATCTATATTTTATAGACCTATTGGCACTCAGTGGGTGACGTAGTCAATATTATGCCAGTCGCCTTTTCTTCCAAGGATTTAGCCTAGTACCCAACTGTGGCTAGATCGACCTGGGAGCCTAGGTCATTTTGATCTTAGGACATGAACCCACAACCACTAGATGTAGGTGAGTGTCTAGCTTGTACACCAAGGTGGCTGCAAAGGGAAAATAAACAGATATATCTGTTGGTTCTGCTGATGACATCAGATAAAGGAGGAACAAAAACCAAGGTTTAAAAAATTAAGGAGTGAGGAAATCATACAGTACAGGTTGCTTGGTTTATAGTGTGTGTGACTTCACATACAGTATAGGTTGCTTGGTTTATAGCGTGTGTGACTTCACATACAGTATAGGTTGCTTGGTTTATAGTGTGTGTGACTTCACATACAGTATAGGTTGCTTGGTTTATAGCGTGTGTGACTTCACATACAGTATAGGTTGCTTGGTTTATAGCGTGTGTGACTTCACATACAGTATAGGTTGCTTGGTTTATAGCGTGTGTGACTTCACACACAGTATAGGTTGCTTGGTTTATAGCGTGTGTGACTTCACACACAGTATAGGTTGCTTGGTTTATAGAGTGTGTGACTTCACACACAGTATAGGTTGCTTGGTTTATAGTGTGTGTGACTTCACATACAGTATAGGTTGCTTGGTTTATAGCGTGTGTGACTTCACATACAGTATAGGTTGCTTGGTTTATAGCGTGTGTGACTTCACACACAGTATAGGTTGCTTGGTTTATAGCGTGTGTGACTTCACACACAGTATAGGTTGCTTGGTTTATAGCGTGTGTGACTTCACATACAGTATAGGTTGCTTGGTTTATAGCGTGTGTGACTTCACACACAGTATAGGTTGCTTGGTTTATAGCGTGTGTGACTTCACACACAGTATAGGTTGCTTGGTTTATAGCGTGTGTGACTTCACACACAGTATAGGTTGCTTGGTTTATAAAGTGTGTGACTTCACATACAGTATAGGTTGCTTGGTTTATAGCGTGTGTGACTTCACATACAGTATAGGTTGCTTGGTTTATAGCGTGTGTGACTTCACACACAGTATAGGTTGCTTGGTTTATAGTGTGACTTCACATACAGTATAGGTTGCTTGGTTTATAGTGTGACTTCACATACAGTATAGGTTGCTTGGTTTATAGTGTGACTTCACATACAGTATAGGTTGCTTGGTTTATAAAGTGTGTGACTTCACATACAGTATAGGTTGCTTGGTTTATAGTGTGACTTCACATACAGTATAGGTTGCTTGGTTTATAGTGTGACTTCACATACAGTATAGGTTGCTTGGTTTATAGTGTGACTTCACATACAGTATAGGTTGCTTGGTTTATAGCGTGTGTGACTTCACATACAGTATAGGTTGCTTGGTTTATAGAGTGTGTGACTTCACACACAGTATAGGTTGCTTGGTTTATAGAGTGTGTGACTTCACACACAGTATAGGTTGCTTGGTTTATAGTGTGACTTCACATACAGTATAGGTTGCTTGGTTTATAGTGTGACTTCACATACAGTATAGGTTGCTTGGTTTATAGTGTGACTTCACATACAGTATAGGTTGCTTGGTTTATAGTGTGACTTCACATACAGTATAGGTTGCTTGGTTTATAGTGTGACTTCACATACAGTATAGGTTGCTTGGTTTATAGTGTGACTTCACATACAGTATAGGTTGCTTGGTTTATAGTGTGACTTCATATACAGTATAGGTTGCTTGGTTTATAGTGTGACTTCACATACAGTATAGGTTGCTTGGTTTATAGCGTGTGTGACTTCACATACAGTATAGGTTGCTTGGTTTATAGAGTGTGTGACTTCACACACAGTATAGGTTGCTTGGTTTATAGAGTGTGTGACTTCACACACAGTATAGGTTGCTTGGTTTATAGTGTGTGTGACTTCACATACAGTATAGGTTGCTTGGTTTATAGCGTGTGTGACTTCACATACAGTATAGGTTGCTTGGTTTATAAAGTGTGTGACTTCACATACAGTATAGGTTGCTTGGTTTATAGCGTGTGTGACTTCACATACAGTATAGGTTGCTTGATTTATAAAGTGTGTGACTTCACATACAGTATAGGTTGCTTGGTTTATAGCGTGTGTGACTTCACACACAGTATAGGTTGCTTGGTTTATAGCGTGTGTGACTTCACACACAGTATAGGTTGCTTGGTTTATAGTGTGTGTGACTTCACATACAGTATAGGTTGCTTGGTTTATAGTGTGTGTGACTTCACATACAGTATAGGTTGCTTGGTTTATAGCGTGTGTGACTTCACATACAGTATAGGTTGCTTGGTTTATATTGTGTGTGACTTCACATACAGTATAGGTTGCTTGGTTTATAGCGTGTGTGACTTCACATACAGTATAGGTTGCTTGGTTTATAGTGTGTGTGACTTCACATACAGTATAGGTTGCTTGGTTTATAGTGTGTGTGACTTCACATACAGTATAGGTTGCTTGGTTTATAGCGTGTGTGACTTCACATACAGTATAGGTTGCTTGGTTTATAGCGTGTGTGACTTCACATACAGTATAGGTTGCTTGGTTTATAGTGTGTGTGACTTCACATACAGTATAGGTTGCT